TTCTTTATCTGCCATTAATCAGAAATATCTCCTGTTGGCCTTCAAGCAGAGGTGCCCGTGGCTCCAATTTTCACAAGTGGCCTCTTATTTTGGATGCCTCAGTTTCTTGGTACTCAGTACGAGACATCTTGGATGTAAGCAGCCCTGACCCCCCACAACTGCCATGAAAGTCTAAGGGCCTTTTGGAGAATTTAGCACCTCTGAAAGCCAAAGCCTAAAATGTCTCATCTTTCACCAGGATCAGAGGTGGTCTGAATCATGGGTTCCTGTTAGCCTTAGCTTCAATTACATACTTGCTACATAGTTGCCCCTGGGCTGTTTTCATTATTCCTTTGAACTTACATGAATAAGGACTTGCCAAATCACTTCTCAAAGTTTTAGGATTGAAAAAAAGTCCAGTTAACTTTCCCCCCTAGTATTCAATATGTTTGCTTATCATTTATTTTTTTTTGCTCTGGTCAAGCTTTGAAACAGAGGTGCAGAAATGTAGAGACTGGCCTCCCTCGAGGTACCTCTGCCCTGACCTTCACAAGAAAGCCTGTACCCTTGAGATCCCCAGGTCAATCTGGGAATCCTGAATGGCTCAGATGAGCTTTGGATGAGGGTTCATGCCTGCGTTTAGTTAGCTCAGGCTTGTCCAACATGCATCCCGCAGGCTGCCATGCGGCCCTCCAAGCTGTTTTCTGAGGCCTGAGGTGCTGTGATGGGAAATGAAAGTAAACACTACTTTCATTTTGGGGTGCGGGGTGAGGTCTTTGAATATGGCCCACTGGGTGATAAAAAGTTCATGATCCGGCCCCACAACCCCACACAAAAAGGTTGGACACCCCTGTTGTACACACTCTGTTGCATGTTTTGCGGAGAGGAAGCAAAAAAACACTTTGTAATGTGGGCCATGCAAACTGGAGAAAATAGTGTGTTTCTACCTTTGAACCACTGAGTAGGAGTCCCTCTATCACCTTCCTCAGTAACAGCAAACCTTCTGGAAGGGTTCTGGGATTAGGATTTTTTTAAAAGTTTAATTATTCAATGGTATCAAATAATTTTTAAAGTAAAGGATTTGGGGGAGGGGGGGAAGAATATTTTTCCCTTGCTTCTGTTTTCCCAAGACCTCTTTAGACTTAACTTTTTGAAGACAAACATCTTTGCTAAAAATATTATTTGTCCAAGGTGAAGCTTTAATAACTACAAAGAGCACTTTGAGAGCATGGAATAAAGAATAATGAAGAACCTATACAGAGACAGAACTGGAATTTTAAAACAATATGTAATGGTGGTAGCTATCAACTAGAGGTGAATGCATTATTGATTTATCAGTTCACCTCTTTTACTGAAAAATAAGCTTTGGTGTGTATTGATTGAGCCAACTTAAACTTTTGGGGTTTTGCTGCAGAAATAGAAGAAGAGTGAAGAAAGCAAGATGGTTGCCTTTTACCCAACAGCTCAAAGTTAAAGCGACTGCTCAGAATGTGGGAGATTCAAATTTAATTCTCTTTTCTGCTTAATAAGATTTGAATTTACCACCACTAATCTTTCAGGAAGGTGCCCTACCTTCCCAGGCTTCACAGTGTTTTCGGTGGGAGTGACTTTGATATCTCTTTGACACTATAGGAAACCGCAGGTGTCCCACCTCCCGGGTGACTACTGTAACTTTCAAAGCTAGACTCATTCCTACTCTCTTAACTCTTTGTGTAAAATATTGAACAAACTGAAAAATCTTCCAACACAAGGTACTAACAGCACTGTGCCACAAAATACCCCAATGCCTACTGGGACTAGGACACTCCTTTGGGATATTAGAGACTAAATTCAAATCTACCCTCTGTTTAGTTCACGGCATAACTTGGAACAAATGTCTCCCACTCCTGGACATGACCCCCATGGCCATCAGGCACTTGTGACAGGGTGCTTGCTCTCAATCCCTCCTTCTGGAGATGTTCCACTCCCTAAGAGTATTTAAATCAATACTGAAACAGACTGAAAACATTATATAGGCTAGTGGTTAGGGTGTTCTCCTAGGAGGGAAAAGATGTGTGAAAGTCCCCTCAGGCAGAAGAGGAAACTAAGTTAGTGTTGCCTGGGGTGAAGAGGGGACATATCTTGTGAATCCAGTCTTAAAAATATTTTTCCTGTTAAAATTTTTTAGCAGAAAAATTTAGTTCTGTTCATGACTAGTTTTAGGATAGCCAAAAGTACATTTTTGGCAAAATTACTGTTCATGGAAAAAATGTAGCAGAGAACTCAAGTTATAACTTGATTCCACTGTGCAAGTAACCACCCCTCCGCCCCTGAACACCACTATGATACTGTGCATTGTCATTTTATTCGGAATAAAAACAAATGAAGCATTTTTAGAAATATCTTAAAATTTCTAAAAGTCTTATAGTGTAGCATGCTTCACCATATTACATTCCCAACAACTTCTGGATGCACTATGGAGGCTGAATACTGCTTGCTTTGTGTCATTCAAAATACATTGTTAGATATCTTTTCACCCCTTTTAATAACAGAAGGGAGTAGAAAGCTTTCAGAGTATCTATACTGTCAAGACTTCAATAACTATTGTGTATAAAAACAACAGTAGTGGTCAGAAAAAGGATGTACACACTTGTAAACCTTAAGTATCCAGATGGTTTTCCTGTCTTAATGTTCCCAGCAAAGTAAGATAAGTATCCTTTCCTTAGCTTGCCAAGTCTCAATTTTTCCAAATGTTTCTTATTATTTTCTTGTATTGTTCCACATATGATTAAGATTCAGGGAAACTTTAAAGAATGGACATGAACAGATTATCAAAAAACCTAATATTTTTTGGATAAACACAAGAAGATTGCATATTTACCACTTACTCCAGTTACCCATTTGATAGCCTTGAAATACCCACAATCTCTTTAATTCAGGTGTTGTTTATCCATGTGAAAAGGACAAGGTTACATACCTAGAGCAGACCCCTGGCCAGGGGAGTCTGCCCAACTACAGCGGTGTGGCCATGCTCTGACGGGAGCTCCCAGTTTTCCCCAGCGCTGTTTTATCACCTCACTGGGTGAAGTGGATTGGGCTCATTAAGCAGCCCAGGGTTATTTCCGGTCCCGGGAGAGGGGATGGCATGGAATGGTAGGAAAGAGAGGGTCGGGGCACGCAGACCGTGTGAGTGCCTGTCTGCTGCGCAGAACTGAAGTCCCCAGGAACACGGCAAGGGAGCTCGGAGAAGCTCACATACTCAGGGGAAGCCAATGCTCCCACGTTAAATTGGCTGCCATGCGCGGTCAATTAAGCCATCGCGGCTTCAATTACTGAAAAAAAAGGAGGAAACATTTGATTGTGGCTTTGGTGATCAAGCATTTATGGATTAAGGATCTGGGAAGGGAGAGCCTGCATCTGAGTCCCCTGCAGCCGGGAGAGGCACCACAGCGAGTCACCTGTAACTTTGCTTCCTATGCCAAGAAGTTTTGTTTCGTGAAGTATATTTGGTCGAGCACCTGGCAAGAGACGGCCAACACTGGGTCGCGGAGTCATCACCCCTCCCCCCATTCATTAGGTCATCAAAGTCGTGGCAGGAGAGATAAGAGAGAGGAAGACCAACCCCATTGAGTTGACCACCACCGGCCTTGAAAGAGGGAAACCAGTTAATGTCAATGGGATGTAAAGGCCCATGTCTGTACGCAGTCATATCTCGACAATCCAGAATACACTTAAATGGAACTAGGATTATTACAGGTGTTACACAACAAAATAAAATGATCAGAAAGGAAGCACTATTCAGTTTTAAAGGGAACTTTTTAAATTTACTGTGTTAAGCGTTTGCAGGATAGTTCATGTTCTAATATAAGTCAGTCCTGGAAAGATCTCTCAGCTTTTCAAATGTTAAATGTGTCCAGTAGGTAGTTTAAATGGGCCCAATATAAAACATCAGCTCCAAAACACTGAGGAAATTAAGGGCCGTTCAGATTCAGGTAAGATGTCTGCTATCATACAAATGGGCCTAAACTAAAATCTTGATTTCAAACCTATACCTCTAAGCAGTGGTTGGCAAAGTTTCAGAGCTGCAGGCAGGGACAACCTGGTCTGAGTGCAGGGCAGATCAGTGTTCCAGCTAGCCAGACCTGCTTCTCCCTGCCCCCCAGGTACTCATCACCTGGTGTAGCTCCTCACCGCCTGGCATGGGCATAGCCCCCAGTACAAGAATGGTGCTAAACCCTGTCAGCTATGTAACCAAATCTGGCCCATGGCCACCTTGCTTATACCTGCCCTACAACAATTCAAGGTTAAGAAGTCTGCATCAGAACCCATAGCTTAAGTCTTGGACTCATCACCAGTAGTAGCCATATGATATTTATTAAGTAACTTGGAACCTCCAGGCTGTAATAACTGACCAAAACCTGGTATCATAAAAATATCTGAAAAACCAAAACGGTAACATTTCTCTTCTAGAACTGCTTATGGGAGTTACTAGTTACTTCACGGGAGTAAAACAAAGATCTAAAGGACCAAAAGTTTTAATTTAATCAATTCCTTTGTACATAGTTCAAATACGCATTAAAATGAAGCAAGAATTTAAACCTAAAGGAAAAATGTAGCCTTTGGCCGGAGTGCTATTCATCACAGATTCAGAAAAAATAAAGTTCAAACTGACTACAGAGAATATCAGTCCTGAACCATTTAACCTAGCTGAAATACAAGCCCATTTATATTACTCCCCTCCACTACCCCATGAGTGCAACATCTTATTTCCTTTCAAACATTTTCAGGACCGTACTCCCTGTAAGACACACCAAAGACTCTCTCTGAGCAACAACACGTAAAGTAACAGAATAAAGTCTCACCTAATTAAAATCTGTCCTTCAAGAGTCCAATTAGAATTTGTAATTAAAAAAAAATCTAAGGAACAGAACTTTCTGTTGCAAACAAGGTACTTGGACAGAATTAGCAATCGCCACACTTTGATGCTAAGAAACTACACATTAATGCACATACATTTTGTACATAAATAATTTCATATGTACCTGTTCCAAAGGTACATGCTTCACCAAGCCACTGACAACAGTTCTTGGGCTCGCTTCTCCAACATCTACCTCCTCGACATAAAGAGAATCTGCATCAGGATGCTTTTTTGCAGTAATAATGCAACCAACGCGCAGGTCCAGACAAGAAACATCTATAGGTTTAGAGTCATCACCCCCAGCTGCTGGAGGATGCTTCTTTTCCTTCTTCTCCCCTGCAGGAGAGAGTTAAATTAGAAGCCAAAGGAAAGAAGTTACATGATTACTTTTCCTTACCAATCCTGCAACCACCAGATCTCAGCAAAAGCTTTGAATTGTGTACTGACATCACTTTATTACCTTAAATGACACATGATCCCACCTTCGTATTTCATATCACCTAGACAATCCTTGCATGCCTAAAGGCCTCTGGCAGACATTACATTTATTGTGCAATTAACTAGTTAATTACACAATAACTTTAGACATGTTACACGTGCAAAGTAATTATCAGACAACAGAAGTGGTCAACAAGTCATAAAAATGGTCAATTAGCTATAAAAATGGCCAACAAGCTATATATTTGTGGTTTGAAAAATGTTGAACAGTTCTAAAGAAAGTTTCTAGTAAGCTTTAATTTAAATATGTGGCATGTCACACACAGGATGACAGCAGCCCCTGACAGCCATTTACTTACAGATGTCACAAGTGCATGGTAAGACATGCGAGTCTGGATCTCAAATCACACCTTACTTGCTGGTGGAGAGGGAGCCCAGGCTCCTGACTAAGTTCCCAAGAAGCTTGGTTTTGCAATCCACTCTGGGTAGCTTGCCCTTTGAACATGAAGTGGGTTATATGGTGCAACTATTTCCATTGAGTGATACTGCCTGTTTCTCAATAGAAGTAATGTTTGACAAGGGCCTGACGTAGCAGTACAATATAACGTATATTTTCTGATTGGAACCCACTTAATTTGTAGTGGGTTGTCAAATTAAGGAAGAACTGCTCAGCTGTTTCTTGTAGCTTTCACTTCAAAGAGCATTGCCATGTCTCGGATCAGATGAAGCTTCTCAGCAGCGCCCTCTGGAATAAAAGTCACAGCAAAACCTGGAGTGCTCAATGCTCATGCACAGTTTTTTGCCTCAACATGCCCAAATATTTCACAACCCCTTTCCTTCACCAGTGGACTAGGAATCTAACCTCAGAGAGTATCCGGATACCTGGTATCTCTGAAAGGATGTCTAAATTCTGAAGTGGCTCACAAACTGAAGTTCCATCAGTGAATTTTAATTCTCATATAATGACCACTGATATCATGCACTGAGTTAACAAACAGACTGAGGCTGTATTTTTGTGCAAAGATAATTGATAATTACACTTCTTCCTATTTAAAATTCTAATCTTCATAAAGTTACCTTAAAAGATTACTACAAGCAACTAATAAATGACAAACAGAGGCAAATATATTATGGTACTCCTGGAGTCCCAAAATACAATGTTAATTTCCAGGCATGTCATTTGCCTTTGCTTACTTTTTACCACTGCACTTCTTCTCAGTCACATAACAATGCTACAATTCTAGACATAGATTGAGCAAAACAAGATGCTGAAGCTGAATGACTGCAGAATTTTCCAAAAAGAAAAGGACATGCATTTACAGAAAATAGTACAGCTAAACTGAATGCAGTTCCTTTAGTGCTATATAGCAGAGGTCGGCAACATTTTTCGGAAGAGTGCCAAAAACACCTGCAGCTTCGACTTACAAGATGTTGGCATGCCAGGGGCAGATGGAGAGGATGGAGACTGCAAGGTGTCAGATGTTGGCATGCCAGGGGCAGATGGAGAAGATGGAGACTACAAGGTGTCAGATCCTTGTGGTAGCAATGCTGCCCCAGCCCTTCCCTGCCATCTGCCCCAAAGGGTGTGTACAAGCAAAATGCATTTATCTGCCACACTGCCCATGCCAGTGGTTATGTCTGAGCTAGTTTGTGGGCTTTTACTTGCATGGTGTCCATGGCCCATGGCAAAAACCAAACTCTAACAATGAATCTTGGAGATGTGTTCTATTCCATTCGCTTTGGCAGTCAATGCTTCTTTAATCTTCAGCATGCACACAAACATATGCATATTATATATATATATTTTAGGGGAGGAGTCAACAGTAGCTTAGCTACTTTAGTACATATCTGCCAAGTATCTTGCATAAACAAGAACTACAAGTCTATTTGCTTAATTCCCTTTATAAACTGTAAATACTTCCTTTTTCCAGACTTCTAAGAGTTGGAGTGTTGATTTCCTTACTGTAGTTCTACTGATCGTTTTTCCACCCTCTGCAATTATGAAACTTTACTTAGAACATCCATAAGTTAAATACTGTCATTGTTCAAAGGATTTCAGAAGTCAGAATACCTTTTTTTCCTGCCTTGTCCTTCTTTTTCTTTTCTTCTTCTCCACCTTTAACTTGATCTTTGGGATCAGAAGGAGAGGCTGTGAGAGGTGTGGGCTGTGGCAAGTCTTCCGAAAACAAAGCTGTAGAAATGGTTCCGCTGGGTAGAGGTGCGATTTGTTTCACTAAAATTAAATATGATGGACATTAAAAAGCTATTTAATTTCTTAAAAGTGCAAATGAAACTCATTATTTTAAATTTTAAATACAAAGAACAATATGTAGCATAAGTGGTTATGAAGAAAAAGAAAGTTAATAAATACTCAGCGGAGAGAACTACTGATGCTATTAAGATAAAGAGGAATATTATGAAGCAGACCTCAGAAAGGAGATTTGGCACTGACCAAAGAATTGCAGCTCCCTTTGACTCAGGAAGGAGCTTCATTTGCTTAACCAAAGGAAAGAGTAGGCTCTCAACTCTACCTATTATTTGCAAATACAGTGAAAACAATCAAATGCATACACATAAAACAAATCTCATTCTGATTAACGAATCTTTGTGATCTTTGGTAACTTTAAATGTTTCCCCAAAAAATCTATTAATTTGAAAAGGTACACAAACACATAGTAATAGAAAGAAAGAAGGTTCAACATACCTCACATTTTTCTTCCTTACTCAACTTCAGGTTAAATTAAAAAAAAAAAAAAGCAAAACAAAGTTTTGTACAAACAGTATAACAGACGATGAGAAAAGCACAGGGCCCTGCAAAGATTTATGCATGTGCTTAACTTCATGCTTATACATAGTTCAAGAAACTTTAGTGAGGCAATTCATGTGCATAAAATCAAGCAGCTTTGCAAAATCAAGGACTGTATCTCTAGGAGCTGACAATAATTTGAAAAACAAATATAGTGCAATTTTTCTTTAAAAAAAACCCATTAGGAAATAAAAAAAAAGTCCAGAAGGCAACATAAAACGGAGACTATCAGAAGCTTAAGTTCTCTTTATCTTAGTGTTATACCACTCTGATTATGGACTGCAAACACATCTACATGCAAAAAAGCCCCAAAAGTACAGAGAAAGGGGCTAGGGACAGACATTACACATAAACCAGTTCAAGATAAACCAGGTTGAATGTAGTAGCAGATTCAACTGATTTGGTTCAAACCGGTTTCTGCAACGTCTGTCCCAGACCTCTTGCTGGTTTAAGATAAACCAGACACTCCCAGTATCCCGGCATGTTCTCTGGGCTAGGAGGGGTTCTCTGCTCCACAGCAGGGCTGGCCCCTCTCCTCTGCTCCCTGACTGGAGCTTGGCACAGATTTGCAGGCACAGAGTGTCTGCCTGACTCCTCCCTGATAAGCAGGAATTATTCCACCCTCCCCTCTGCCTTATGCAGACACCTTGACATCAGCTAGTGGACCCCGGAGAGGACAGAAGCAGACAGGCTTTTTGGAGCTAATCAACAGGTAGCTTAATGTCCTTCCTTGGAAGAGTTGTTGAAGAAGAGCTCCATTAGTTAAAGGAGAGAGGCTTTGTTTTCTTAATGAGTTGATAAATACTAAGTTAAGGGTGAAACATTCCCTGCCATAGGGAAGAATAATCAGAGTGTCATGCCCAGGCCTGGCCACGTCCCCCTCAGCTCTGCCCTGTGGAATCAAAAGGAGGACTGCTCTAGTGCCCCCTGGCTTCTAGCCTGAGCCACTGCAGGCATGTCCCTGCATTTCTGGGATGTCTATCTTGATTACAAAGTGATTTAGCCTAGCTAGGTTGGACTAACCTGCAAAGACTGAATCAATTCAGGCTCAGGCTTTTTGAATGTCTGTCCCTAGCCAGGGAGGTGGCATAATCTTGCTCTTTGGAATTGTTGGGGAAAATTTTATAAGTTCCCAAATGTTACACAGGGACAGATATAGCCACAAAAAAACCTCCTGATGAATGCTAAAAGGATTCAGGTGACTAGCTTCCTGCACTACTTGAAAAAAAAAAAAAAACACCCTTGGATGTTCAGTTTAATTTTTTAATATATTCTTTATTTATTTGCATTGCAACAATACAAGACCAATACTCCATCTTGTTAGGCCCCAATTCTGTATTTGTAAATTCCTCACAATATGAATTAATCTCACAAAACTCTCTGCCTTGGTATTTTCTCTTTGCTGCATTCTGCCTTGGTATTGTCCATTTTAGAGCAACATAATTATGAAAGATGGCTAAATATCTTTCAAGACAATGCTTTAAACTGTTAACTCTTCTGAGTAGGGACTATGTCTTCTCTCTGTGTATACAGCACTCCAGCAGATTGTAGGGATCCCTTGGAATAAATGCATGCTGTATATAATGTATAATACTGACTTCTGACACTGATTAGTGTCCCCATTATTTCTCTTTACTCTGCTAGTGATGTGAGTATTGCCATCTATGTAAACAATGGTTCTCAACCTGAATTGAGTAGTATCCAAATTTCAAAAACGAATTAATAATTTAGTGTTCTGAAATCCTTGCAGAGGGGCTGGGTAGTGAGGCTGGGGAATTAGCCAGAGGTTGGGGAGGTCTTGTTTTTGTTTTTGTGTCCCCCAGATTTGTGTGCAGGGTGAGAGCAGGCTGTCAGCTGCAGGCTTAGGGCTGCAGGCTCAGGGCTGGGGGCTGTGCTGGCCTCTTCCTGGTAGGGGGCTGGGTTGGGGCTGCATTCAGGGTGGGTGGCGGTGGCACTGGGAGGGGAGCTATGGTAAATTTTGAGGTTGCTGTAGCCCATCCTGTAGCTCCCCACCCCCCACCACCACCACCTGCCTTGACCGTAGCCCCAGCCCAGCCCTCCCACCGGGAAAGGCCAGCACAGCCCCAGGCCCCAAGCCCATAGTGGGCAGTTCGCCCTCACTCCATGCACAAATCTGAGGTGCACATGACCCCATGTTTCCTCTGGGGGTGCATGCAGAAATGGGAGCCACCTCCCCCCCCCATGCCCTCTGAACCAGTTGCCCATGGCTTTATCCCCCGGCCCCAGCTGGGCACTGCCTGCCCCAGCCCCACTCCCTCTCTCACTGTGGGGGCCTCAAACTGCTCCCCCTCCACCCTTTCCCCCATACAGACTTACTGGCCAGACGCTGCTCTCCAAGCTACCAGGCTGCATATTGGCTATTGGATTGGTATTGACGGATATGGCTGTTTAATAATTGGCCATTAGTATCAGTCAAAATATATTTATTTGTGCACCCCTAGTAGTTTAGCTCCACTCTAGCTGGAAGCTTGATGGTGCTCAGATGTAACATCGCAACAAGAAATATTGAAAAGAGTGCTGGAGTGATAACACAGCCTTACTTAACTCCCATTTTAAACTCAAAGGGATCTGTGATAGTTCATTATTGAGAACCACCACTCGCATACCATCATGGAGCAGGTAGAGAATGGTGACAAATTTTGGTGGGCATCCATACTTCAAAAGGATTCTCTCTAACACTTCTCGGCTGACAGAGTTGAAAACTTTCACGAGGTCAAAGAAGGCCATATAGAGATACTTATGTTGCTCCCAACATTTCTCCTTCATCTGACAAGCTGTGAAGATGATGTGAATTATGCCTCGATGTCCTAAACCCACGTTGAGATTCCAGGAGGAATCTCTTCAGCAAGTGGAAGGAGACGGTTCAGAGGGGTTCTCACAGTGATTTTTCTTGTGGTGACCAGCAAGGTGATCTCTCTGTAGTTTTCACAGTTGGACTTGTCTCCTTTCTTGAAGAGTGTCACAGTCATGGCATCCCTGAGGTCATCTGGGATTTCTTCATCACTCCATATCCATAAGATGAGGGCATGAAGCTGTGACGTGAGATCCTCTCCTCCCTGTTTTAAGATTTCAGTGGGGATTCCATTCACTCCAGATACCCTGTTGTTCTTCATCTGCTTGACAGCTTTTCTCATTTCATTAAGGGCTGGAGGGATTCCAAGATCACCTCTGACTGGGTGTTGCGGGATCGAGTTGAGAACACTCTCGTCAATAGCAAAGTCTCAATTGAGAAGGTCTTCAAAAGGCTCCTTCCAATGGGCATTGGTATCTCCCCTTTCCTTCATCAGGTCTCCTCCATCTTTAGGTCTCAATGGGGTTGGTTCCCAAGTGCTTGGGGACTGTAGATGGCTTTGGTAGCATGGAGAAACCATGCATATTGTGGATGTCAACCAGATGCTGAATCTTCTTAGTCTTGTCTTCCCAACCATTTGGTCTTCATATCACATGTCCACCTTTGGAACTCTGCCTTGGCTTGCTGGAGTTTTGCCAAGCACAAAAGGCCTTGCGCTTGCAATCAATCAACTCTTGGATCTCCCAGTCATTCTCATCAAACCAGCCTTGATGTTTCCTAGTAGAGAATCCAAATGTCTCTTCACAGGCGCTGATGACAGTGGCCTTAAAGGCACTCCACACACTGCTAACATTTTCCCATTGTTGATTGGAATTCACCAGTTTTTCTGTTGAGGCACTGGTGAAAGAAGTCTTGCTTGCTTGGGTCCTTGCGTCCTTCAACATTGATCTTCCATCAGCATTGCTTCTGAAGCAACCATCATTTGAGAGCCAGTTTGAGTGACATAACCCAGTGGATAAGTCAGCGATCAGTCCAGTCATCAGCTCCTAGCATAGCTCAGGTGATGCAGACATCTTTGTGATCCTGGGCACAGACGATGACATAGTCAATCAGGTGCCAATGCTTAGACTGTGGATGTTGCCATGATGTTTTGTGCCTGTTTTTCTGGTGGAACAGTGGTGGTGAACATAGTTTCATAGTTATGGGCTGGAAGTTACAGATCATTGGGTCCAGCCCCACTGCACGTAGGTAGGAAAGACTGCTGGGATCAAATGATCCCAGCAAGATAGGCATCAAGACATTTGAAGATTGCCAGGGTGAATGACTGTACCACTTCTGGGGGGAGCCTGTTCCAAACCCTTGGTACTTGGCTAATAAAGATGTTTTTTCTTATGTCTAGCCTGAAGTGATCTTCAATCAGCTTGTGCCAAATATTTCTTGTCCTTCCCTGGGGGGTCTTGGTGAATAGATGCTCCCCCAAACCCTGATGTACGCCTCTGATATACTTGTAGGCTGCAACCAAGTCCCCCCTGAGTCTTCTCTTCTCCAGGCTGAACAATCCCAAGTCCCTCAGCTTCTCAAGTCAGTGTTCTCCTTCCTGTTTACTCTTCCAGAA